TCAGGGTTGGAGGGATGGACTGTCCCTGATCGTCTCTCCCTATTCTGCTCCCCAGTTTCCACAAAAACCACCTTCCCCTTCAGTCTTGGTGAGTGTTTTTAATTGAAAGAACCTATGTACTGGGTTTAGCAAGTGAAAGCAAGAAAATTATAAAAACAGAGCAACTGCACCACCTCGCGTCTTTCTCCCCTGGGCACTGTGTGGCCTGTGTAGAACTTCAGGCTGCCTTTCTGGGCATAGCCTCCCATGACTGTGGGCTTAGATCTAGAGCCCCCTGCTACCAGCAGCCCTGTGTACCCCCTTCCACATTCGAGGGCTTCACTGACTCCAAGGGATGTGGATTTGGTGCAGCACAGTCTCCCTCTGAGACTCTAGTCCAGCCGTGGGCAAACTACGGCCCACGGGCCGGATCCGGCCTGTTTGAAATGAATAAAACTATTGAAAAAAAAGACTGTACCCTTTTATGTAATGATGTTTACTTTGAATTTATATTAGTTCACACAAACACTCCATCCATGCTTTTGTTCCGGCCCTCCGGTCCAGTTTAAGAACCCATTGTGACCCTCGAGTCAAAAAGTTTGCCCACCCCTGCCTAGTCCCAACTGTGCATGTTTCTCCCTCTAGCCCAGATGCTCGATCCAACCTCTCTCCAGACGATCTCTGATCTTTCCATCCATGGATTGCCTCACCAGATGTGTTTAATTCACCAATTCCAGGTGGACGTTATTCGATTCAGCTGTTTCTTCTATCTGCTCTGTGAAAAGGCACAGGACCTGTTCGCCTATTTGGCTGCCACCTTGTCTCCCCTTGGACAAACTTTTTAGGTGCCCACAGCCAGGAAGGCTGGAGTCTCCGTGTTCATGGGTTCACAGCCAAGGCAGCTAGTCCCTGGGCGTTGTGGCTGTAGGGTCCTGTGTGGTATCAGAGGTCTCCCTGGTTGAAGGTAAGGCTGGGCTTCTGATCACAGCCGCTCTCCCCTTCAAGATGGTGCGGACTCTGTGGCAGAGCCAGCTGCCCTGGTATGGATTTCAGCTGTAGCAGGGGCTGTCCTGTCAGAGGAGCCCGGTCTGCCAGTCCCCAACAGTTCTGTGCAATATAACTGTCCCTCACTCACACATACACACACTCCCCGCATGTACACACACTCTCCTTTTGCTCTCTCACTCACTCACACTATCTCCCTCACTGCTGTCCTGTCAGCTGCCATCTTGGATCCCCTCCAGCCAGCATTTCTTAGACTAACATTTATGAACATTCTCACTTTCAAGAAACATACCTTTAACAAATTACAAGACATTACATTAACAGTTCTAAATCTACTTTATAGATTTTTTGTAACAAAAGCTAAAATCAAGAGAACTTAAAACTTATTAAAAATATTCAGCTGTTTATCATTTAACCCAGCAATGCTCCAAAGCTTTTAAGTTGCCAAAGAAGACTTTGGAAAATTATGTATAGGCATATGAGGCTGGAGAAAAGGCTGAGTGGGGAGGGAGCAGGCCCTACAGCCTGTTCTAGGACTGCAGTTTCCAGACATCCAACTGCTTGGATTTAAAACTGCCACATTTTTCCTTAGAGATAATAACATGCTAAGGTTTGAGTAATAATGAGTTCAGCTTCTCATAGTAGCCACAATGTTAAGTAAGCATTTTCAGTTTTAGTAAAGAAACTGTTCTTTGGGAGGGGAGAGGGTAAGAAAATGCTGAAGTGAGAGCAGTTTTTAGAGCATTAAAGGGGGTGAGAATGCTGGGCTTGGGACCTAAAGGCTCAGTGAGGGTCTCCTCACCATGTCCTAGAGGGGCTTTGTGAGAAGACTAAAGTTGGGAATCAGAGGCAAAAGTACTCAGCAAGCCCAAGAAAGGAGACCATTTCTTGTCCAGATGGGAGGACAGTCATGGAGGAGATTAGGAGATAAGGCTTTTACAGTCCAAGGAATGCCTTAGCCTTATGGGCTGAGGGAGTGAAACTGAGGTAGTTGACTGTGGTTTGGGACAATTGGGCTTTATGAGGAGATGCACAGTAACTCCAGTTGGGCACCAACATAGACAAGAAAAGAGTGGATAAAGGGTGTGTCTAGTAAGATGCAGTATAAAGGCGAGGTGGCTAATGTTTGTGAGATTAATCTGTTAACCCCCATAATAGAGACTGAGGAGGGGACAAGGGTCCCAGCAAATTTGGGAAGGGCAGAATAAGTGGTACCAGTATCAATTAAAAAGGAGATCAGCTTACTTGCCACCACAATCATTACCCGAGGCTCTGTCCTGTTGATGTAGGTCTATGGGGCCCTGTCAGGGCCTGGGCAACTTCAGTCTTTGGTGGCCAGTCCCAAGAGGTCTGGGAACTCCAAACCAGATTCAGAGGGTGGCCTTGCTGAGGTACAACCTGAAGGGGCCAGACTACAGTCTGATTTTCAGTGACCTTCCCTTCCACACCTTGGGCAGGGCCCAGGTGGAGGTCTTGGGTTTGAGCAGGACTTGTTCCAGTGTCCTTCCTTGTTGCATTTGAAGCATGAGCCCTGAGGAGGCTTAGCTCCTGATTTATCCTTGGTTGGAGGACCAGAACTTTATTTAGGGTTCATGAGAGTGGTGGCTAAGAGCTGGAAGGCCTCCATCTGGGCCTCAGCCTTGGCTTGATCTCACTTTGTTTTTAGATTTGGGTCTCCTCATCTCTATTATTAAAGACCTTAAAGGTCAGGTTAATGAGGTCTTTTGAAGGGTTTGTGGACCTGTGTCTATTTTTCAAAGTTTGAGATGGGAGACTTTCAAGAACCAAGATTTGACTATATTTCCCTTTTTCTTTTATTCCCCTTTTTCAAAATAGCCTCTAACTACGAGATCATTTTTGTTTTGTTGACATCTGCATGCTGTAACTTGCCTATTTTTTATTTTAATAACTTTTGTGGCACTTTGTCTTCCTTGTGTCTCTTGTTGAATTTCATTTTTGATCCTGTACCTTCCAATAGCAACATTGTTTCATTTACATTTAGTGTTTTAAATATGTTTTTCATATTTATCTTGTTTCAATTTTTATACTTCTTACTGTTTTTTTTGTCTTAAAATGCAAGCTGTTTTCTTTATATTTTACTAGAGTCCCGGTGCACGAAATTCATGAATGGGACGGGGGGGGGGGTCCCTCAGCCCTACCTGCACCCTCTCCAATCCTAGACCCCTCAGGGGATGTCTGACTACTGGTTTAGGCCCAATCCCACAGTCAGACATCCCTCTCACAATCTGGGACTGCTGGCTCCTAACTGCTCTCCTGCCTGCCTGATCGCCCCCATCCACCTCTGACTGCTGGCCTAATGCCCCTAACTGCTCCCCTGCCAGCCTGATCACCCCTGACTGCCTCTGCCTGCTGGCCTGATCGCCCCCTAACTGCTCTCCCCTGCCAGCCTGATTGCCCCTAACTGCCTCTGCCTCTGCCCCTGCTACCATGGCTTTGTATAGAAGGATGTCCAGAAGATGTCTGGAAGATATCTGGTCTAATTAGCATATTACCCTTTTATTAATATAGATTTATTTACTTTTTTATTTTCCCATTTACTTTATATTTTATTTTATTGTTGACAGAATTACAGATATCCCCCAATTTCCTCCCACTTTACCCTCCTTCTCTTAGCCACTGCCCCACCCCAAGCCTTAACCACACTATCCTCTATACCCATTGGTTATGCATATATGTATATAAGTTATTTAGCTAATCTCTTCCCATCTCCCTCCCTCCCCTCTGAGATATGTCAGTCTTCTCCATGCCTCCATGCCTCTAGGGCCTATTTTGTTTGTTAGTTTATTATGTTCATTAGATGCCACTTCTATGTGTGCTCATGTGATATTTGTCTCGCTCTGACTGGCTTATTTCACTCAGCATAATACTCTCCAGGTCCATCCATGTTGTTGCAAAGGGTAAGAAATCCTTCTTGCTTATAACTGCATAGTATTCCATTGTGTAAATGTAACACAGCTTTTTTATCCACTCATCTACTAATGGCACTTGCATTGTTTCCAGATCTTAGCTCTTCTAAATAATGCTGCATGAACATAGAAGTCCATGGCATCTACAATGAAAACTATAAATATTCTCAGCTAAAACATTTTTAAACTACATAAATGAAGAGTAATACAGTGCTAACAAATTGGAGCTCAATAGTGTTATGATATCAAAAGATCTAGAAAAGTCAAGACAATATTTTTCCAATTGAAGTAAAGAATTCTATAAGCCAATGTGCTTTTGGCATAAGGGTAAACAAATAGATCAATGATACAGAAGATTTATACATGTTAGCTTTTGTATGTTTTTTATAAACTTGGGGTAGGCAAAGATTTCTTAGCATATTGAAGTTACTAATCACAAAAGAAAAAGAATAGATAGATTGGACTTCACTAAAATTAGAATTTATCCCCATCAAAGACAGATATATAATAAAGCAGAAGTTACAGGAAAATTATTGATATTCTTACAAAATTTTAGTTTATGCCTTATCATATGATTACTAAACCACATCGTACCATTTATGAACTAGTTTTATAATTCAGGATGGTATTTCTTAACTGCTGTAGGACAAGGAGGGAGCACCACGTTTTAATCTTTTTGAGATTTATTTTCTCTTAGTTGTTAATTAAGATACATTTTTAAGTTTACATTCTATTGTTATACCACTGTTTCTTATTCCTTTATGGATGATCTGTTTGCTCCATCTCACTGTTGTACAAATTAAAATGTTTTCATAAAACTTCCGGATATGTTTGGGACAAAATAATTTTACAATGGCTGTGATCATGACAGACTGGCATTTTTCAGTACTATTATGTCTCTCTAATCTGCCATGCTTCATTTTATTATAGTTTTGTCTATTGCTTCAATTTTATTTGTCCTAATCACTTCTCAGGACCACTTAATTTATTTATGTTGGTTCTTCACAGCCAATCTATCCTTCATATATAAAATGTTACAGCATATCAAAACCTTGATGGCCATTTTATCATGGTATCCCTTCTCCCTAGGGTGTCTGCAGAAGACGAGAACATAGAAAACAAGCATATCAATGACATTGCACTCACATACTTCAAAAAATATAAGGTGGAAATTTCAGGCGCAATAACAACAACATTTCCTTTCCTTGAACTTATCCGGGACCGTGGATTCATCACCAATGAAATGTATGAAGTAAGTGAGGTTTATTATGTCACAATCTGATAAAACAACCCCAAACTAAGTTATACTTTTTGGTATGTTGGAATTAAACCTCAGAGCACATCTGGGCTACTGAGGAGTCACTTATGAGTGGGGACTTTCTCAAGTACTGCTAAGTATTTCTATAAAGTCAAAAGAGAAGAGAAGTAGGCATTACTGGAGATAGTCCTGCTCTTAACTGAAGGATTCGGTTCTGTCATGCCCCCTAGAATTGGGTGAATAACTCTGGAGATAGGCTGGATCTGAAGTAGGTATATAAAGCCTTCTAGAAATCTTAATAATAAAAGGCCAAGAGGCATCACTACCAAAACGACCAAACAGCCGGTGGCTATGATGCCCACTGTGGTCAGAGGACCAGCCCAATAAGGGGGTGGGGCCTGAGGCCAACCTCACGGCCCCTCCTCCCTGCTGGCCTGCCCCTGATCAGACTCTTCCACCCCAATCAAGAGCAGGGCCTGCAGGCCAAATGCTCCCTCCCTTTCCCCCAGCCAGCCACACCCCAATCAGCCCTCACCACCACAATAGGGGGCCGGGCTGGGTGGCCAACCTCTTCCAGCCCCTCCCCCTGGCCACCTCACCCCTGATCGCCACCCTACCTCAATAGAGGGCAGGGCTGGCTGGCCAAATGCCCTCTCCCTTTCCCCCTGCCAGGCCCCACCCCAAATCGGCCCCCCCACCCCAATCAGAGGCAAGGCCAGCTGGCCAACCACCCATGTCCCCTCCCCCAGGCTGCTGGCCCCTGATCGGCACCCACCACCCACCCCATTTGAGGGTGGGGCTGGACAGCCCACTGCCTACAGCCCCTCCCCATGGCCTGCCCCGCCCCCAATTGGCCCCCCAACCCCAATCAGGGGCAGGGCCTGCCGGCCAATCACCCATGACCCCTTCCCCCAGCTGGCCCGGCCCTGATCAGGGGCCCTGAGCAGGCCCCTATCTGAGCTGGCTAGCCAGCCAACCTCCGACCATCTCCTCCTCCTGACAGGCCCAGACCCAATCGGTTTATATATAACTGGGCCTCTAGTTATATATAAAATATAGTATAAACTTGAAATTAAACACAATTTTAATGAATGGGTGAATAAGTTGAATGCCTTCATTTAATGAAATAATCACTGACACAACATTTCATTTCAATGAGCAACAGTTTAAATAAGCAAATCCACAGAGAATTAATGCCTTGTTAAGACAAATTTGAAAGTAGATGCTTGCTATTCTTTCAACAACAGTTTTCAGTTTCCTTTCTGTTTTCTCCCCTTTTCTTTTGGTATTTATGGAGTCTTAGAATTTAGGTTAATTTTAGCAAAAGACGTAGGTGGAGATGCAAGTCTTCATTTTCCTTATGCATAGGCTTTCTCTATGGCAAAGTTCACAGGAGCTTCCAGGCCAAGTCAGTCCTGGGGAAGGGACAAGGGTTGTCCAGTCAATAGAATAGCATCTCATCACCCACTAAGTCTATTCCTAAAACATTTAGCCAGGCCCTGAAAGGGCTACATATTACTTCACTTGAAACCATTTTTGTTCTTCCTTATGGCTCCTTATTTCATCTCATGTAAACGAGGGTGAGGAGCTCAGATTCACAAATGGGTGTTTTCTAGGAGGAATGATTTAGTTGTTCCACTTAGTAGCCACACAAATATAGAGAAATTCTAAAACTGTATGTGAGAAGATACCTATGTTGGGAAAATATTATGCATTAACAATAAAATCGCTTTCTAGGGATCTTCTGTAACTTGGAAGTCTGTATTTATATTTTCCCCATTCTCTATTTTTAAGAAATCTCAAGAATCTTTTAAAAAACGGTTTTCTGTACATGAAGTCATATACGATATTCTCAGTGAACTGGAGAAGAAATTTGACATGTCTGTTCTGCGAGCACTGTTCAGCAAGATCATCGTGAAGAAATACCCTGATTTATATCGCATTTATAAAATATTCTACAAAGGTAATTATGTTTATTACCTACATTTTGATGTCCAGAGAAAATTTATTCCCACAAGTATGTATTGACTGTTTACCATGTGCCACAGACAGTGTTGGGCAGATGTAGCAGTTAAGAAAACAGACAAATCATGAGTCTCTCAAAGTTGATATAATGGCTAGAGTACAGACACCCACCTGCAGGTCTGCTTAACTAGGCATTTAAAGTCACAAGACTACCAGAACCACTGGGACATCAGATTTATTTAGAAGGACAAATGACAGGTAACCCCAAATTTTAAAAGGATGGCATTAGTTGCTCCTCTTCTATGGAACCCTTTGCAGGGGTCCACACAGCAGTCCACCAAGTTGACTACAACCCTCCTCAAGTATTGGCATAGCTATGGGTGCGGGATCCATCCTGATGTAGCTACACCATGCCCAGGGGAGTCAATATCTCATGTAACAACTCTGTAGTCATAACTTTCAGAGACAGCACAAGGAATAGTTGAGGTACAAGAGTTACCACACTGAAAGAAGGCAAAAAGTGGCTTATAGTTCATATCTAGTCCCTCTTTACCCACCTACAGTCACTGGTCATTTTTAACTCTAAGCTTAGTGTTGGCCTACTAACACAGATGAAAGGCCACCTTCATCAAGTTTCCAGAGTAATGAGCAAGAAAATTAACTCAAGTTGAAATTTGCTCTTGAAGAAGTTGAAATATTTTTATTAACTCATTCCCACAACAGGTGTGATCAACAATCAAATAATCACACCAATTGCTCTGCCAGAGATGTTTTTTTAGTACTATACAATACTACTGGTTTGATTCTCTACTTTTCCCCTGAGATGCATGATTTTATATCTTTTAAATAGGTTCTCAGTAAAGAAAGTGTCCTCCAATAACTTTTGTTTACCTTGCCTAGAAAATTTTTTTATTCTATATACTTTTGGTTTCAAAAAGATCTCCAAATAATTCTGGAGAATTGAAAAGAAAAATTACATGCACTGAGGAATTCAGATATTCCAGGAGCAAGCATAGAGCATTAAATGGTCCTGCATCTGCAGGACAAGGACAAATTAGATTAATCTCAGAGTGAGAAGCGGATTGTGTGAGTTTATTCAAAGGAAATAAGTATAAAAAAGGATTTGGGGAGGTCTGGCTTCTAAAGTTAAGTAATTTAATGTTATTTACCACACAGTAAAGAGATAGTACAAGTTAATAAGGTTTATAAGTACAGGTTTATTGCCCCAGGAGGTGCCCCTGCTATCAGCCCTGAGTTATATGCATTCTCTGATTCCCTCAGTCTCCTCCCGGACTCCTTGCCGAGACCTACACCAAGTATTCCTTCATATGTGAGCTCAGTAACCTACATGCAGGGGCCCTCCTTTCACTGGCAGCCTTCGAAGATGCTGGTCCAGGCATCTTGGGACGTCTGTCATTGCCACAATATTCACTTCCTGATTGCAGCTTCAAAGAGTATTCCTCTTTGTCCTGGGATCTGGGTACCCCTGGGAAGTCTGTCCAGGTGTTCCCATGTCCCCTGACTTGTCTATTTGGGAAGCAGTTATCCTCCCTGACTCAGTTAAGCCAAAAGTTTCTCTTGTCCAGCCTCATTTTTAAAGATTTGAAATTTTACCTTTTTTATTCACGTAAATCTCTATAGGATTTTTGTTTTCCTCCCAAGGAAACCCCTCTGTTTTTCCTTATAGTTAGAACAGTTCAGCAAACTATTATTTATTTTGCCGAAACCGGTTTGGCTCAGTGGATAGAGCGTCGGCCTGCGGACTGAGGGGTCCCGGGTTCGATTCCAATCAAGGGCATGTACCTGGGTTGCGGGCACATCCCCAGTGGGAGATGTGCAGGAGGCAGCTGATCAATGTTTCTCTCTCATTGATGTTTCTAGCTCTCTATCTCTCTCCCTTCCTCTCTGTAAAAAATCAATAAAATATATTTTTTAAAAAAAACTATTATTTATTTTGATATATGCTTTCCTGGCCAGCTGAACTTTTTCACATGAGTAACAAGCTCATGATGCTGCCACAACTCCTTATCTTGAAATTCAAGTGGCTCCTTTCTATGTGGGCAGCATAAGAGCTCCTTTGTTGGTTGTTCTTTTTCTGACACAGGAATGAAGGGGGAACATTACCTACAGGATTGGGCCCCAATGAGCACTGAGTGATCCAAGGAGTGAAAATTCCTAAACATGTCATTTCAGATGACTCCCACTCCATGAAGATCTCTAATTGTCTTCTTCTCTTGTCCTCTCTTCAGTGATACCAGAAATAAAGTCCTTCCTAGAAAGTGATGGAAAAGAAAATGAGGAGAGGCTTAATGACCAACTAAGCCTGGAACAAGGTGATTGCAAACAGATAAAAACTGATTCTCTTCTGCTAAGAGGAAAGGAGAGTGGAAGTCTGGGAATCAGGGAAGACCTGTTGGGGAGCATGGAAAAGGCAGGGAGGGCTGTTTGTATGAGAATCTGACGAGGGGCTGATCCTGGAGGAGGAGCTATGACAAGAAACCATTGGCCCAATAACCAGACAGAGGAACAGGACCCAGTGTGTCAGGAAACCAGATTTAAAGATGATGCTAACTTGAAAGTAATTGTGATTTAGAGAGACCTTGCAGGAGATGAGTGTGAAACTGTGAAAGGCTTGGAACTATGGGCTCAAGGTCAACATAACTGAGGAGATCCTGGGTGATAAGGAAGGGACTGATTTAAATGTGGGGAATGCTGTTCAAGAGCAGGAATATTCAAGGAGATGGGCAGTCATATAGGGAGGGAAGGAAGGAAGTGGTATTTTGAGAGAGAGAAGGAGGGGAAATGAAAGGCAGAAGAAAGGGTTAAATGACACAGTAACAACAACCATATTACTAAGAGCTCACTTATAGACCATTTACTCTGGCAGTTGTGGGCTTAGTGCTCACAGCTGCCCTTAGGGGGAAGTATCACTCTTTGGCCATTTGCAGAAAAGGAGACTGAAATCTCAAGAGACCATGTAAGTAGTTGGCCTTGGGTCAAATGATCACGATGAATCCAGACTTTCTGAACCCAGAGCCTTTGTGCTTAACCCTATACTGACCCAGATATTCTCATGGAAAAGACAAAAACATGAGTCAAAGAAGGGAAACATGTGCAGAGAGAAAGATACAAAAAGAAGAATGCCAGGATCTAGAGGAAACATAGGAGAAGGAGACATTGAATCTCATAAAAAGGCCAAGACAGAGAAACCGACATGCATAGGGAGGGTATGGTGTGAAGGGGAATGGGAAAGGAGACATGATTTTGCAGGGAGTAGGGTGAATCTACCAGTCAGGGATATCCCTGGGAACAAAAACGGGTTCCCTATGGCCATGAGTGACAAGGAAAACCATTGCTGGTTACTGAGTGGCTCCTGAATAATCTCAGTGAGATAGCCTGACTGGCAACAGAGGGCAGCTGATGGCAACAGTTGGGTGAGATCCTCCAGATCCAGATGGGTTCTGTATTGATACCTGGGAGAGGGGATCTTGAATTCCTAATTTATAAAGATTAAATGAGATTAGGGGAGAATGGCATAGCATATACTTCAATTTTTTTAAATAAACCTCCCATTTTTTCCCCCAGGAACTGGTGGTAATTCATATCAAAGACCGATATGGATAGGCCCAGATGCCACAAATTACAATGGTTTGTATGGTGGGAGGTTTGATTCCTGTTAGTACTAATTGCCCAGAATAGTAAGTCTTTGCATTGGCAATTTCTCCAAGGATTTATAGATAACAGCGTCTTCATTTTCCTGGTTGCCTGGGAGGGTCGCTCTTTCCATACTCCTGAAATGCTCTGACTGCCAGCTCCTGACAGCCTGGTCCTGGACATACTGCCCATGCACCTGGCTTCACAGTGTTCTGCCTCTGTCTTGCTTGAATCTGCCCGTAGCCTTGCTTTGATATCATGTTAGCGGTGGCCAGCACTGAAGCAAGGGTGGTGGGCTAGTGGTCTCTCACCTATTGGGTCTCTCACACAGAACCATGGATGCCATGTGCCTCCTGAGCGAACCCTCTCCCATCATCTCTGGGGCAGCAGGCCTGGAGATGCTCTAAAAACACTATAGAAGTCATTATTATGTAGCTTGCACTGGGATGTATTATTTAAGAAAGGCTGTTCTAAATTAGTAATGCATTTTTATAAAAGAAAAAAATCTTTAAGAATGATTTTGAAAGCACCATTATACTTTTATCAAATCACATTTAGTAAAAAAAAAAAAAGTTAGTATTTAAGAATATAAAATATCCAACATGCATCAATCTATATACAGTTCATCTACCAGGGCGGCTGGTTGAAATAGGAAGAGTGAGAGGAGGAATGGTGATGAGTAATGAAGAGAGAAGAAATTCAGCGTGTGTTTGTGTGTGTGCAGGGTGTGGGTGTGGGGGGAGGGGGAAATGATATTATAACCCAAACTAGAGGCCCAGTGCACAAATTCGTGCACTAGGGGCAGGGCAGCGGGTATCCCTCAGCCCGACCTGTGTCCTCTAGCAGTCTGGGACCCCTCGGGGGATGGGGATCAGGCCTAAGCCGGCAGTCAGACATCCCTCTCGCAGTCCAGTGTTCTCGCAGTCCAGGACCCCTCACTCCTTACCACCCGCCTGCAGCGGAAGCAAGAGAGGCTCCCTTCACTGCCGCTGTGCTCACCAGCCGTGAACCTGGCTCCTGGTGGCTGAGCGCTCCTACTGTGGGAGTGCACCGACCACCAGCGGGCAGCTCCTGCATTGAGCGTCTGCACCCTGGTGGTCAGTGCACATCATCGTGATTGGTCATTCTGCCAATTGGTCAATTTGCATATTAGGGTTTTATTATATAGGTTGATGCACAATAAACCACTAATAAATGTGTTGAAAAGTCTGACTCAGCTGAAATAGTTGACTGTGACCAGCACAGGCAAGGGAAAAGCTATGCCTCATGCCCCTTCCGCAAGATGAAGCTCCAACGAACAGTGGATGTGGCACAAAACATGCACCAGGGTCTATTAAAATTGTGGGAATTAATATTTAAATCATCTTTACATAAAATACTTTGCTCAAAAAAATAGCACTAAATGAAAAAATCCAAGCTGCACTGAAAAAATCTGTATCTATTCATATACTAGTGAGGTTGGTGGGAACAGGGTAGGATGAGTAGATGGAATAAAAAATGAAAAGAGGAGGCTCACCATGGAGAGGGGTGCACTGGTCCTGGATGGTTTATTCAGGAATTTATTCCCCATTGGTTCCTGCTCTGCTCTGCCCTCTATCTCTGGCCACAGACCCCTGCAGACTTGCTTGCCAGCTCCCTTGTTACTGCTTACTGCTAAGCTACTAACCTGGGTGACACCAGCAAGAGAGTGGAGAGGGGGAGCAAGGGAGAAGCATGATATTTCCCCATCACTGTCTTGAGCAGCAATTCTTGCAATAGCTACATCTCCCATAACTCTACATCCTACCAAGCAGGCTGGCCATGGTCCAGCTTCTACCTCCCCAGTGACTCAACACATGAGCTCATCCTTATTCTTTCCCTCCCATACCTTCCTGTTAACTATTCTTCTATTTGGAATTGTCAGCTCTTCCACCAGCTGTACAGTATAACTAATCCCCTTGATTAAATTCCTTCTGCCTCAACAGCTTAGAGAGCTTTGTCTTTTCCTGTAGACCCTGATCAATGCAAGGGGCAAATAAAATATCTATGAATCAAAACCTGGTCTAGGTACAGCCCTACCTGAACATGGACTCTCAGAGCACTGCTGTGAAACACAAGAGATAAATGTGAATGAAACAGGTACAACCACTGACAACAATAATGCACTAGAAAACCAACAAGGAAATGAAAAATGTGCCCAAGAGTCTGAGCAGGAAGGTAAGATTGAGTGCCTGGGTTTGATGAGTGGTGAAGGGGAACTGCCAGGTGGAGGGATTGGTGTGTATAAAGTCACCAGGGCAGAACTTTCATAATGATGGGAATGATTAAGATGGAGAAACTAAAAAAAAAAAAAATTGACTAGAAGAGGCACTCACAGGTCACAGACATTATTAAGAAACAGAATAAGAGAAAGTAGGAAACATAACAGAGAATGAATAAACTGAAAAATTAGGTGGAACAGAAAGGCCATGTCTTGGGGGAGGCAGGGAGAACTTAGGACATATGTAAGGAGGAGTTCACTCTCCTGCCCTACACACCTACAGTGCTTCACCCTAGACCCTGCTGGGCTTGGGTGGGCAATCTACACTAATAAAAGAGAAACATGGTAATTGGCGTACGACCACTACCCTTTTCATTGGCTAATCAGTGAGTATATGCAAATTAACTGTCAGCCAAGATGGCGGCCGGCAGCCAGGCACTGAAGCGAGCAGGGAGGCTTGCTTGCTGCGAACTCCCGCCTCACTTGCCAGCCTCTCATCTGCAACTCTAAGCAACTATATACTATGTTGCAAATAAGAAG